GCGACCTGTAGAGCAACTGCAAAATCAGGAAAATTTTCAGTTTTTGGTCCATTTCAACCCCTAAATATTTTGCGATCATCTCCAAAAGAAATATGGTTCTATTCTGGGTCTAGACCCATCTCCATTCTAAATTTCGTGAAGATCGGGCCATAATTGCGACCTGTAGAGTGATTACAAATTAACATGGACAGACGGACGGACGGACGGACGGAAGGACATACATAGCAAGATCGACTCAGCTCGGCGAGATAGGAAGATCCATATATACTTTTCTATGTCCTAAACCAATATTTCGAGGTGTTACAAAATTTTTTGCCCAATCAAACTTATAATACCCCAAACTGCAACAAAGTCAAAAGTCATAATTTTTACATTTTTATATCCTAGAACACTATCTGTTGGATTGGGTCAAAAATTATGTAACACCTCGAAATATTGGTTTCCCACATAGGAAAGTATATATGGATCTTCCTATCTCACCGAGCTGAGTCGATCTAGCTTTGTATGTCCGTCCGTCCGTCTGTCCATGTTAATTTGTAATCAAGATATAGGTCGCAATTTTGGTCCGATCTTCACCAAATTGAAAATGGAGGTGGAGATGATTGCAAAATATTTAGGGGTTGAAATGGACAAAAAAAGTTCCTGATTTTGCAGTTACTCTATAGGCCACAATTATGAACCAATCGACGCGGAAATTTATATGGAGTTAGAGTTTAGGACTAGGCAGAAGCCTAGCATTTGGGCGGCCATCGGACAATATTTAGCTGGTAAAATAGACCCTAATTTTTATGTAAGAAAATAGGAACATTTCCACTAATCCGCGAATATTTTTAACGCCAGCCAAATCACAAATACTTTAAAAGGTCATTAAAAGGTAAAGTGATGCTGATAGCCAAGAAATCGGATATAGCAAAATAGGAACAATATATATGTAAAAGAAATATATCTTATATATTCTGTTTATAAGTCAAGAACCGCTGGGCCGACTTTACTATTTATTTTACTAAGGATACAATCTAAGAAAATCGCGGAAGAATATACCTTTAGATGAGTGAATATCTTTTCTTCCATTTTTTTTTTCAATTTTTGTCATATATTTTATCGCATGCGATTTTTTCAATTTGACGAACAATTTTAAATTGGAAATTTTCTAAATTTTTACACCCCTCAAAACTACGCTTTGAGGGTATTATATACATGTCGCAATTATCATCCGATCCTCACGAAATTGCACGGGGAGCGTTAGGGCCGGAATTAAAGCCTACTGTTCTTAAGATGTACATTTAGAGGTGCAAATGGACTAAAAAAATCTTATTTTTTCTAATTTTGTAGTCGCTCTATAGGCCACAATTGAAAACTAATCGACACGGAAATTCGCACCAGAAGAGAGTTAAGGACAGGGAAGAAGTCTAGCATTTTGGATGACTATTGGATTATATTTAACTATAGAATGGACTACAACTTTCGTATGAAATTGTGTCGAATACAACATGACGGAGTGCGTAAATATTAGCCAAATTCTCCGAGTCAAAAACCTGAGGGTGACATCTGGGCGGGCTCTTTGACATTATTTCAAAAACGAAATTTTCCAAAATTGAATTTGGATATAAGGAGACTTCAAACATATTGTTATGTTGTAGGGTATCACATGGTTGGCCCCGCACTACTATAGCCTGTACTAACTTGTGTTTTAAATGTTATTGAATGAAAGCTAAAAATGTCGGAAATAGCAACAAATTTTAGAATAAATTTAGATTTGTTCGAATTGGTCACCTTTGGCACGAATTATGGCCTTCAAATGGCCAATGAAACCGTCACACGCTGTCCGAAACCACAGTCAAGGGAACGGATTGGATTTATGGAAGTCCGTCCCTCTGTTCATGTATTTTTGTAAACAAAATACAGGTCGCATTTATTGTCTGATTGCTATGAAATTTTCAACCAATTATTTTCTGTGGCCCAACAACGAACACTAGTGAAATTTGGTAATAATCGGATCAGATTTGGATATAGCTCCCATATAAAGTGTCGAACGATTTTATAAGTATTCTGCACCAAAAGCATAATTTTGATATAGGTCCCAGTTGCTTGTTCCATCCGATTTGTGTTTAAATCCCCAAATTTCGTAATATTTACTCTATAACAGAGATATTTGGTTCCAGATATCAGATACAGTTCAGAAATACCTCTGTCAAATTTTGTCGAAATCGGCTCAGATTTGCATATAGCTCGCATTTATATCTTTATCCTATTTGACGTTTATTGTGCAAGAAATGTTCAAAATTAGGCCAATTAGAATGGACTTTGGCACATATGACAAAGAAGCAGCAAGTATTGAAAAATTGGTTTAAGATATAGTTATAGCTCCCATATATATATTTCATCCGAATGTGGGGGACATTCGTAATATGCACTCCACAAAAATTATATTTGGTACCAGATGTCAGATACAGCTCAGTAATACCTCTGCCAATTGTTATTGAGATCCGTTTAAATTTGAATATAGCTCCCATAAATATCGTCGTTCGATTTCAATATATTGTTCGCCAAAAGGCAGGATTTTTGGCAGAGACTATCAAATTTAGCATTGAATCAAACGTGTTGAATTCCGCCATGAAATAAAAAAAAAACTGCTGCAAAGTCAAACGCCATAATTTTTACATTTTTTTTTAATTTTATTGAATTAAAGCAAAACATGTCGGAAAAAGCTTCAAATTTTGGAATAAGTTTAGATTTGTTTGAATTGGTCACCTTGAGCATGAATTATGGCCTTCAAACGGCCAATGAAACCGTCACATGCTGCCCGAATGTTGCCTCGCGGTATTTTGGCCCATTCCCGGCGAAGAGCTTGCTTGAGGTGATCGACACTTTGGTTCTTTTTGGTGCCAACCTTTCTTTCCAAAATACTCCAGACACAGCAGTCCAACGGATTGGTATCCGGAGATTTTGGTGGCCATTGTGCGTTGCAAATGAAGCTAGGAACCTCATTTTGTAACAATTCTTGGTGGCGCATGATGAGTGCGATGTTGCAGAGTCATGTTGGAGTGTCCAATTCTGCGGCCAAAATTTTTGTCCAAGGCTTTAATGCACCCTCCAGAATATTTTCGCGACAATATTCGGCATTTATTATGATGCCACGGTCAATTAATACGAGCGGAGAGTGACCATCGGCTGTTATGGCGGCCCACACCATCACAATGGCCGCCGCTCGAGTTCTGGTGGCCAACCGAAGGTGCACATTTTCAGTTGACCTTTTTGGCAAGTAAACACGATCATTTTGTTTGTTTACAAACTGCTGGACAACGAATGTTTTCTCATCGGAGAAAACCAAATTCGGGAGTTCACCACTTTCGGCCAAGCGAAGCAACTTTTTAGCTCTTTTGAGTCTATTTTCTTTCTGTTGCGGTGTAAGTTCCTGCACTTTTTTGGAATTCTAATGCCCTTACCCCGAGTTCATTTTTCAATATTTGCCAAATGGAATATTGCGATATGTTCAGCTCACGAGCCATTTTCCTGCCACTGCGATGCGGGTTTCGATCAAGTCGCTTCTTTACTTTTCGAACCAATTCTGCTGATTGTGCTGTTGCTGTTTTCTTCCGTCCACTTCCATGACGTCGGGCTACGCTACCAGTATCACGGTAACGAGCAATGATGCGAAACACAAAACATTTATCCATATTTAAATGCTGGAGTGCTCTAACAATAGCCTTTTTGGGTTTTCAGCCAAATATTAGGATATCATACTATAATTTATTTTCTGGAAAATGCCCACAAAAATCCTTTGGTACGCTTGTAAACAATATAATGAGCTGTCACTGGAATAATTTTAACAGCTGTCGGACGAGTCGCTTCAAAATGACAGCAATGACAATTATTAACAAAATCAGCTCTGATTTGACATTTCGGCAACAATTTTCTTTGTAGATGTAGTTTTTTTTTGTATAGTTCTCATATGGAGTTTTCGACTTAATTTTCCAGACATATAATTAGTCGATTAATACTTTGGGTTTTTGTGTTTGCATTAATTCCTCTCAAAAAAATATTTAATGTCAGTCACCATGTCACGACACTTGAAAATTTGAAAGATTTTGAGGAGATCCGGAATAAAAAGTTGGTTGACGGCATAAAAAGTTGGGACGACCGATGTTAAATTTCGTGTTGAACTATTTTTATTTGTCCCCCGATATAATTCTTTGAGATTTAATTTGTCTTCTAATGGAATGTGTCCCTTACCTCATCTTAAGAATTTCATTTAATTTTGTTTAACAATCAACTAAATTTATTATCCGCAATCTATTATCCCCTGTAACTAATTGTAAATTATTGCTGTTAACATTCCTAAAATAAGAATTGAAATCAATTCATCTTCCACAAGAAATACCAAGAATTTCGAAAAACCGAAATGAAATATTCCTTTCATGAAAATGAAAATAAATGTTTGCGATTCGCCTTCAAATGAATTTAATTGAAACGTAGATGGAAATCGAAGCTGAATGGTGTGGAATTACAACAACCCAAGATTACATAGCCACATCCTACACCCACCTCCCTCTCTCTCGCCGCTTTTTTTTATCAGGACCCTTGTGAATAGAACACAATATGTGTTTTAGCTTTAAGTGAATAATAATCATTTAATTAATACCCCAAGGAGGAGTCCGACGTCTGCTGGGTACATTTCATGTTCCTTTAGCTGTGGCCATGTAAAGAAATAATCATGAAGTGTCCTGCAGAGAACAAGGCAAGATGATAATGGAATTCTCTCTCTCTCTCTCTGTTTTATCTCGTTTTTCTTTTCTTGGAACACAAGGATACTTTCATTTCGTGCATTTAAGATATGTTCTTTGTATCAAGTTATTGGGTTGTTTAACAAAAAATATTATCATTTAGTAATTTCTTGCATTGGTTTTAAGTTAAATGCGGACTTGTATAAGCAGCCAAAAACAACAATTGAAGCTAACTTTTTTTTATCCGTAACTCTTTTCTTCTTCCTCTCATTACAGATGTTTAAGTTGGGACACAATGAACTGAATTGGAAAGTTGTGTAAACGTCCATACCTCACTCACACCACTACACACACATTCAAAAAGGGGAGACAAAGTTTCTCAACTTCACAGCCAAGCCAAGCCAAGCCAAGCCAAGCGCAGCAGGTCCAGGAGCCGGAAGCAGAGCAACATCATTTGCTGTTGTTGTTCTTGCTGCACTCTCGCTGTGTTACAAAACAAAAGCAATTATGGCCGAACAGCAAAAACTTTCACTATGTCCACGTTTGGTGGACTACCTGGCGATTGTGGGAGCCCGTACAACACCGCCCATACACAAAGGACTGCCGGGCAACAAAACACCTCCGGTGCAAGTGAGTAAACAATCGACACGGACAATGAAACCACACGGACACACAGAGGAACTCCCCTTCGCAAGTCAAATGTTACGTAGGACTTGCAAAACTGCAATACATAATTACTTTTAGAATAAATTTTCTATTGAAACTCGTGCGGACAACACGAGGTCTGAAGACAGTACGCCTTCTTGGTTGATAGTGAAAATGAGGTTAGGAATGCCAAACCAAAGAATTTTTTTTTTCATCGGGAAAAAATTGCCTAAACCATAGGTTGGTATTTTTCCTATAAAAAATTGGTTCGACAATAGGTTGGACTTTTTACTATCGGAAAAATTGCTTCGACCTTAGGTCAGATTTTTTTTCTATAGAAAACAATTGCTTTGACCACAGGTTGGATTTTTTATATAGAAAAAAAATTGCTTAGACCACAGGTCGGATTTTTTTCTATAGAAAAAAAATTGCTTAGACCACAGGTCGGATTTTTTTCTACAAAAAAAATTGCTTCTTTAAAAAAAATGCCTTAGACGACAGGTCTCAGTCTGGAACTGAGGTCTTCAGATTTTTTTTATCAGAAAAAATAGACCTCAATCCGGAACAAAGGAAAAAAATAGACCTCAGTCCGGAACTGAGGTCTTCAGATTTTTTTCTATCGGAAAAAATAGACCTCAGTCCGGAACTGAGGTCTTCAGATTTTTTTCTATCGGAAAAAATAGACCTCAGTCCGGAACTGAGGTCTTCAGAGGTCTTTTCCGATAGAAAAAATAAACCTCAGTCCGGAACTGAGGCCGTCAGATTTTTTTCTATCGGAAAAAATAGACCTCAGTCCGGAACTGAGGCCAGCCAGATTTTTTTCTATAGAAAAAAATAGACCTCAGTCCCAAACTGAGGCCCGCCAGATTTTTTTCTATAGAAAAAAATAGACCTCAGTCCCAAACTGAGGCCCGCCAGATTTTTTTCTATAGAAAAAAATAGACCTCAGTCCGAAACTGAGGCCCGTCAGATTTTTTTCTATAGAAAAAAGTAGACCTCAGTCCGAAACTGAGGCCCGTCAGATTTTTTTCTATAGAAAAAAATAGACCTCAGTCCGGAACTGAGGCCCGTCAGATTTTTTTCTATAGAAAACAAGTAAAAAAAACATTAAGTTCGGCCGGGCCAAACTTTTAATACCCTCCACCCTAGGGTAAAAGAACATTAGAAGAAATGTGGCAAAAAACATTAAAATGCCGAATATCGGGAGGTACCGTTATATAGGGGCTACACCAACACGTGCACCTATAATTACAATGTTTCGCCACACGAACTAGGACCCATTATGACCCACAAATACCAACTTTTACACAAATCAGTGAAAAAATGTGGCATAAATCATCAAAATACCGAATATCGGGAGGTACCGTTATATGGGGACTATACCAGAACGTGGACCTATACATGCAATGTTTTGCCACACGCTCAGGGACCCGTTGTGACCTACAAATACCAATTTTCAGACAAATCCGTGAAAAAATGTGGCATAAATCATCAAAATACCGAATATCGGTACGTACCGTTATATGGGGGCTATACCAAAACGTGGACCTATACATGCAATGTTTTGCCATACGCTCAGGGACCCGTCATGACCTACAAATACCAATTTTCAGATAAATCCGTGAAAAAATGTGGCATAAATCATCAAAATACCGAATATCGGGAGGTACCGTTATATGGGGACTATACCAGAACGTGGACCGATATATCTCATTTTCAATACCAACCATCCTAGGGACAATACACAGACTTGTGCCAAATTTCAAAGGTCTACGTCAAATAATGTGGGCTCTATCGTGATTTCAACAGACAGACAGACAGACGGACAGACAGACAGACAGACAGACAGACGGACAGACAGACGGACATCGCTAAATCGTCTTAGAATTTTATGCTGATTATGAATATATATACTTTATGGGGTCTACGACGAATATTTAGAGGTGTTACAAACAGAATGACAAAGTTAATATACCCTCCTACCCATGGTGGAGGGTATAAAAATAGACCTCAGTCCGGAAAAAAATAGACCTCAGTCAAGAACTGAGGTCTTCAGATTTTTTTCTATCGGAAAAAAATAGTCCGGAACTGAGGCCCGTCAGATTTTTTCTATAGAAAAAAATAGACCTCAGTCCGGAACTGAGGCCCGTCAGATTTTTTTCTATAGAAAAAAATAGACCTCACTGAGGCCATCGGAGATTTTTTTCTATAGAAAAAAATAGACCTCAGTCCGGAAAAAAATAGGCCTCAGTCCGGAACTGAGGCCATCGGAGATTTTTTCTATCGAAAAAATAAACCTCAGTCCGGAACTGAGGCCCTCAGATTTTTTTCTATCGGAAAAAATAGACCTCAGTCCGGAACTGAGGCCCTCAGATTTTTTTTGTTATAGAAAAAATAGACCTCAGTCCCAAACTGAGGCCCGCCAAATTTTTTTCTATAGAAAAAAAATAGACCTCAGTCCGAAACTGAGGCCCGTCAGATTTTTTTCTATAGAAAAAAATAGACCTCAGTCCGAAACTGAGGCCCGTCAGATTTTTTTCTATTGAAAAAAATAGACCTCAGTCCGAAACTGAGGCCCGTCAGATTTTTTTATATAGAAAAAAGTAGACCTCAGTCCGGAACTGAGGCCCGTCAGATTTTTTCTATAGAGAAAAATAGACCTCAGTCCGAAACTGAGGCCCGTCAGATTTTTTTATATAGAAAAAAGTAGACCTCAGTCCGGAACTGAGGCCCGTCAGATTTTTTCTATAGAAAAAAATAGACCTCAGTCCGGAACTGAGGCCCGTCAGATTTTTTTCTTTAGAAAAAAATAGACCTCACTGAGGCCATCGGAGATTTTTTCTATTGAAAAAAATAGACCTCAGTCCGGAACTGAGGCCCGTCAGATTTTTTTCTATAGAAAAAAATAGACCTCAGTTCCGGAACTGAGGCTTTCAGTTTTTTTTTTCTATAGAAAAGCAATGGAACTCTGTCCGAAATTGAGGTCCTCCAATTTTTTTCTCTACAAATACCGAAACTGAGGCCACAGATTTTTGCCTTCGCCTTTTTCTCTATAAAAATGCCTTCGACACACATGCGGCAGATTTTTTCTATCGAGGAAGTGTGCCTGATTTATTTCCCTTATAGCTGACATTACGACCGACAAATACCGACCTATATGCCCCTTACTCAAATTCCATTGCTTTAAAAATTAAAAAAAATATTTTTCTTCGTCTAGATTCCCGAACTGTTACGACGTTATCCACCTTCGGATCATGCCGACTTTCCGCTACCCCTGGATATGGTATACTTTTGCCAACCAGAAGGCTGCACTACGGTGGGGCCACGAAGAACAGGCTCTGCAATTCGTGATATGACCTCTTTTGTATTTGCTCTAACGGACAAGGATTCGGGTAAGACACGCTATGGGATTTGTGTGAATTTCTATCGGCCGGTGGATAAGCCGCAACCGAATGCGGATAAAGCTCAAGGACACAGTACAACATCCACAGCACAAAGTGGACGGGGCAGACGAAGTTCGGCGTTTCGTCGCGAGTCATGGCGCAAGAGTATGGAACGGAGTTCTGATTCGGCATTCAGTAGGCAAGTATAAAAGTGGCCACTAAATATTAATTTTCTATTAGATTGGTTTGCTGCTTTGTAGATGTCCTCCCTCTATCAGTTTTTCTGCTTCCTTCCCCCCCAAAAATAGTAAAATTCTTAGCCATCCTTTGTAAATATAATTTCGCTTGTGCCATTCGTAGCGCTTAACATTTTGCAATTTGATATAATTCTCTTAATAGTTACGGCCTTCTAACTTCTTCTAGCGACTACAGAAGTAACGTCGCACCCAGTGATTCAGACCGTGAAATGACATCCCGCAGAGATTCCGATACGCAACATGGCCCATATGGCGGTGGCGGCCATGGTGGCCAATACATGCAACAACAGCAGCAGCAGCAACAACAACAGCAAGTACCCAAATTAGGTCTAATGGCACCCTCAGGTGATTCCGAGTCTGGCGGCAGTCATTCACCCTCACCGCGTGCCTCCCGCAAACGCACCAAGTTGCGTAATCAATCGCTGACCTCATTGTGCATCATCTCCCACCATCCGTTCTTCACGACGTTCCGTGAATGTCTGTTCATCCTGAAGAAGATAATCGACGCGTGTAATGAATCGTCGTCGCCCAAGCGATTGGGTGCATCGCAGAAACAGTACAAGGACAATGTTTGGACAGTGTTGACCGGTTTGGCCAGCGAGTCAACATCGTCGATAATGTTGCACGATGTCAAGGAGATTGAAACATGGATTTTACGATTGTTATCGACACCAGTTCCCATACCGGGATCGACAAGAGTTGAGGTGAGTTGAATGGGTAAGAGGATGTACGGGAGAGGAGTTTTGGGATGGTATTTTGTGTTAAGAGTATAAATGGCTTAATTAACAATGTTTCTATTGACGTAATGTATTGAAAGCTGGGAAATTATTACTCTAATTTTGTCCTGCTTAAAAAATAAGAATGGAAGTCAAAATGAAAGAAAACGGGTCGAGAAGGCGCCCATGCTTAGAAAAAAACGGTACGACAGAAAGTAAAAGAGTAATCGGATTTTGGATGTTTACTCTCATTCGAAAATGAGCAAAGCATACTCTCTCTCTCATTCAAGTGGCATACAAAAATGTAGTATACTCAATATACTCTCAGCCATATGGCTAGAGAGGATATATATTATTTGATACGCCAAAAAGGTGCCTCATCGAAAAAAAACGGTTTTAGATCCTATGTCTCGTTGGACCAAATCCGTTTTAGGACATTTGGAGTCTATCTAGTAATGTCCCCCTGTCTGGCTGTTGCGCACAATAACTCTCGAAGGGACTATCCGATTTGGTTCCAACTTGGTACATCGTAATATTATTAACAAGCTAAGATCGAGTTCGGAGTTCTGCAATATCGGTCCACTTCTTCTGTACCACACCCACAAAAGTTCGAAATTTTCAAAAAAATATTTTGCTACACAGAAAGAGAAAGGATAATCCCATTTTGCTCTAGTTTTGCAAATCCTAATATGGCCCTATGTGGGGAAAGTACCAGAAGTAAATGCCCGATGTCTACCATATTTACAACAGCTCTTGTGTTAATAACTGGGATGTATTGGGATGTGTTAAATTTGAAAAGAATCGGATGCTTATTTAAATTATTAGAAATATCGTTATTAAAAACTTTGATCCGTTGTGGGGGAGGTACCAGAAGGAGTGCTCCTATATACTCCATCTTCACACCATATTGTGTATTGATTGTAAGTTTAAAGGTAATAGTAATAGTTCGTTTCGCGTTTTGTTCATCCGTTCAAAATTAACAACCGTTGTGGAGGATGTACCAGAAGTAGTGGACCGACGTAGACCATCTTCACAAAGGTAAAAATATTGGAATGTGTGTAATTTGAAGACAATCGCACTCTCATTTTATAGGAGTTACAATTATTCAAAGTGTTGATCCTTTGTGAGGGAGGTGCTTGATGGAGTAGACCGATTTTTTCCACTTTCGCAGCAGATCTATAACTGTTGACAATATTAGAATTTTCAAAGTTGGAGCAAAATCGGATGATTTTTTCTCTTTCTAAGAAGCAATATATTTTATTTGAAAATTGTGGTCTTTTTTGGGGAGATAACAGAAGGAGTGGACCGATATTGACCATCTCCGAACTAGATATAAGTCTGATAATAATATTACGATGTACCAAGTTTGGTACATCGAGAGTTATCGTGCGTACCAGCCAGACTAGACAGACACGCTTAGATCGCCTCTAAATGTCCTGAAACGGATTTGCTCCAAAGGACCTATGGTTTAAAAACTTTATACCTCTACCAATTTACACCTCATCTAAGGTTTCAGCCATGTGAGAACAGCAAAAGAAATTGACAAATATTACCAAACGTGTGTAGTCAAACAAAAACTACAGAGATATTCTTCAAATCTCCACGAGTTCGGTCTTCAAAAATATTTGTAAAGAACACCACATTCTTAAAGGTGTTACGAGTAAAGCCTTTAAAAATATCCTTGAAGGAATCCAAAATGCTGTTATCGGCAGCTTTTAAGCAAAATGATCCAAAGTGGTGTCTTTTTAAAAAATGTTGAACGATCTACGAGTACAGCCGTTATTAAAACCTTTAAGAAATTGTTAAAGGGTCTACGAGTACAAAATAGAAAACTTTCCTTTCTACAGGATTAAAGTTGTTCCATTCAAGCCATAAAAAGATATAAAATATTCCTAGATGATCTACGAGAGAAGTCAAAAATATAATTTATTGAACCACGAGTGTTACCTTTAAATATGTCCTTAAAGAATTTTCTAGACCATTCGTAGGATAGGTAAAAAATTATCGATTTGTTCGTCTTGTACGGCCAAAAAAGAGCCATAAGCAGGTATCCCTCAAGTATATTTCCGAAGGCACCTTATGAGCAAAAACTATTCTTAGATGATTCACGAGCAAGGCGGCTCCAAAAATATTTTCGAAGGATTAGTAAAGCTTCATTTTTTTTTTTTGATAATAATCTCATAAGTATCCTTCAATGTTGAACCTTGAGAGCCTCGAGAATTGCTTTCATACTTTTAAATAATTCAGGAGTACCTCACTTTAAAATAACTTTAGATTTGTTCGAATTGGACACCTTTGGCACGAAATATGACCTTCAAACGGGCAGTGAAACCTTCACCGGCGAAGCGCTTGCTTGAGGTGATCGACACTTTGATATTTTTTAGTGCCAACCTTTCTTTCCAAAATACTCTAGACAAAATAGTCCAACGGATTGGTATCCGGTGGATTTTGGTGGCCATTGTGCGCTGGAAATGAAGCGAGGAACCTCATTTCGTTACCATTCTTGGGTGGCGCATGCTGAGTGCAATGGTGCTGAGTCCTGTTGGAATGTCCAATTCTGCGGCCAAAATGTTTGCGTGCCCGAAGTCTTTAATACACCCTCCAGAATATTTTCGCGATTATATTCGGCATTTATTCTGATGCCACGGTCGATTATTACGAGCGGAGAGCGACCATAGGCTGTTATGGCAGCCCACACCATCACCATGACCGGCGCTTGAGTTATGGTGGCCAACCGAAGGTGCACACTTTCAGCTGGCCTCTTAGGGAAGTATTTACGATCATTTTCTTTGTTTACAAACTGCTGGACAACGAATGTTTTCTCATTGGAGAAAACCAAATTCGACAGTTCACCACTTTCGGCAAAGCAAAGCAACTCCTTAGCTCTTTTGAGTCTTTTTTCTTTCTGTTGCGGTGTAAGTTTCTGCACTTTTCGGAATTTCGATGGCTTTAACCAAACTCAATATTTGCCGAATGGAATATTGCGATATGTTCAGCTCACGAGCCATTTTTCTGCCATTGCGACGCGGGTTTCGATCAAGTAGCTTCTTAACTTTTTGAACCATTTCTGCTGATGTTGCTGTTTTCTTCTGTCCACTTCCTTGACGTCGGGATACGCTACCAGTATCGCGGTAACGAGCGATGGTATGAGACACAAAAGATTTATTCTGATTTAAATGCATGAGTGCTCTAACGATCGCCACTTGTGGTTTTCCAGCCAAATATAAAGAAATCACACTATCGCGCTTGAATTCCATTACGAATATCATTTTTCTGGAAAATTCTCACCAAAATGCTTTGGTACTCTTGTAAACAATATAAAGAGCTGTCACTGGAATAATTTTAACAGCTGTCGGACGAGTGGCTTAGAAATGACAGCAGTCTGAAGTTGGTTGCAGTTTTTTCATCTCATCCTTATCCTTCATCTCACCCTGTATCCTGTACCCATAAAATGCCATCAATATATTCCGAAAATCTTCAAAATATTCTAAAAGGACAAGTACAGCTTTCAAAATTTATCCTCACAGATCCTGTAGTAAAGCCATAAAGAGCCAAAAAAATCGTCTTCAAGGATTTACGAAAACAGCTTAAAAAAAGGAGCTTTCAAAAAATACCGAACAAAAGGCCGTTGAAGGCATGCATCTCAGAAAAGGTTGGCTAAAACCTGGAAGAGGACTGACATTTTTGCAGGCGATAAGTTTTTCAAAAATACCGAACAAAAGGCTGTTGGAGGCATGCATCTCAGAAAAGGTTGGCTAAAACCTGGAAGAGGACTGACATTTTTGCAGGCGATAAGTTTTTCATCCGCTGAATTCTTCTAAATTGAGTAATATTCTATTATTTTTATCAAAACAGGCACATGTTCCTGCAATTTTCCCAAAATTAATCTCTTTATGTTGATTGTTTTTCTTTCCAGGTTGGTGTCCTCTCTCCAACGGTCCACGATCCACTGACATTTGCCCTGCCCGATCATACACGTTTCTCCCTCGTTGATTTCCCACTGCATTTGCCACTCGAGCTGTTGGGCGTGGAGACGTGTTTGAAGGTTTGGACACTGATAATGTTAGAGAACAAGGTGTTGTTTCAGTCGCGCGACTACAACGCGCTCTCAATGTCGGTGATGGCATTTGTCACAATGTTATATCCATTGGAATATATGTTTCCGGTGATACCATTGTTGCCGACATGTTTGAGTTGTGCCGAACAGCTGTTGTTGGCACCAACGCCATTTGTCATCGGGGTGCCGGCAACATTTTTGGTTTACAAAAAGAATTTCAGGTGAGTGGGGTATTTGAGAGGTGAGAGTTGAAGTTGATTGAATATTGAATGAATTTGATGTCATCTAGGTTGCCCGATGATATCTGGGTTGTGGATTTGGATTCAACAAAATTAACACCACCTTCGGGTGGTTATGATGAGATTCCACCTCTGCCCGAGCCGGAGGGTACCATTTTGAAAAATCATCTAAAGCAGGTAAGTTTTATCAACAAAAAATATTTTTTTTATTTGATGACGATGCTATACAAGGTTCTGGATGTCGGTTTGAGATTAGAAGGAAAACATTGATGCGTTTAAAATATAAATATTTTTTCTCATATCCTGAGTAAAGTCTTTAGTTTATTCTCATTTGACGAGTTCGACATCCAGAAAATGACTGTAAATTAATGAAAAATAAAATAATGATAATACTGAACATACATATGGGTATATGTGAGTGTATTAAACATAAATGTGGATTATCCGAACCAATATAAGCTTTGTCAATGTACAGCTATCATAAATCTGAAAACATTAATTTTAACCTAACACTTTATAAAAATTCTCTATATATTTGCTAATTGGATTGAATTATTTTCCATAAATTTTTTTTTCTAAAATTTTAAAATTGGCAACATTTCTTTTTATGCATTTTCTTTTCTTTACAAAATTTTCTTAATCAACTTTTCTTTTGAATTCGAAAATTTCCTATTTTTTTTTCATTTTGTGTATTCACGATCAAAATTTATTCTACTTAATTATCTTCTCTATCTATCTCTCTCCCTTTCTATGCTATACAAATATAATACAAACCATCTCAAATAAACAATCATTAAAAAAAACAACAACAACATCAAAACATAAAACATCTAATTCGTGTGTGTATGTCATTTGTCAAATAAACAAACAAACAAAAAACACAGGCTATGCAACTTATGGATGAAGCTGGAATTTGTGTAAATATCTTATCTTACCTTTCTGTGAATATTTTCTATCTACTCTTCCTGCCTTCTCCTTTCCTATTACATGTCCTTTGCATGTTTGATGTATAAATATATATTTTTTATTTGTTTGTTTTTATATAAATAAATATGATATTTGTATTTTTATACCCTCCACCAAACTATGGAGGGTATTTTAACTTTGTCATTCCGTTTGTAACTCCTCGAAATACTCATGTCAGACCCAACAAAGTATATATATTCTTGATCAGCGTAAAATTCTAGGACGATTTAGCCATGTCCGTCTGTCTGTCTGTATGTCTGTCTGTGTGTCTGTCTGTCCGTCTGTCTGATGTAATCACGCTATCTTTCGAACGAATTGAGATAGAAGGCTAAAATTTTGCACATATATATATTTTGCCAGTAGGCAGGTTAAGTTCGTAAATGGGCCATGTAGGTCCACATCTTCGTATAGCTCCCATATAACGGTACCTCCCTATATTCGGTATTTTTATGATTTTAACGTCATGATTAACCGGAATTGTTTAAAATTTGTTATTAGAAGTTCGTAATGGATACTACAGCCTATGACAGAAAATTGTCTGTGTAGGTCCAGGTCTTCGTATAGGCCCCACATACCAGTACCTACCTATATTCGGTATTTTGACGAGTTTAGGTACAATACCAACCGAAATTGTTTGAGACACATATTTGAAGTTCGTAATGGATACTAAATCCTAAGACAGAAATTTGTCTATGCAGGTCCACGTCTTCGTATAGCTCCCATATAACGGTACCTCCCGATATTCGGTATTTTGATGATTTTAGCGACATTATTCACGGGAATTGTTTAAAATTTGTTATTAGAAGTTCGTAATGGATACTACAGCCTATGACAGAAAATTGTCTGTGTAGGTCCACGTTTTCATATAGCCCCCCATAAAACGGTACCTCCCGATATTCGGTATTTTGATGATTTTAGCGACATTATTGACCGGAATTGTTTAAAATTTGGCATTTGAAGTTCGTAATGGATACTACAGCCTAAGACAAAAAATTGTCTGTGCAGGTCACCGTCTTCGTATAGCCCCCATATAACGATACCTCCCGATATTCGGTATTTTGATGATTTTAGCGACATTATTCACCGGAATTGTTTCAAATTACGTATTTAGAGCTCGTAATGGGAACTACAGTCTGTGACAGAAAATTGTCTATGCAGGTCCAGGTCTTTGTATAGGCCCCACATACCAGTACCTCCCTATATTCGGTATTTTGACGAGTTTAGGTACAATACCCACCGAAATTGTTTGAGATGTCGTATTTGAAGTTCTTAATGGATGCTACAGCCAATGGCAGAAAATTGTCCATGCTGGTTCAGGTCTTTGCACAGCTCCGATATAACGCTCCCACCCTATATTCGGTATTTTGATGATTTTAGCTACATTATTCGACGTTTATTTGAAGTTTCGAATTTGAATATGATAATGACTTATGGCAAACAATGCCCATGTAGGTTCACGTCGTATAGACACCAATATTACGGCTATATTCGGTATTTGTAAAATTTTAACAGAATATTTTAAGGATTTTATTTCCAAATTCGTTCCAAATGGTGAAGGGTATTCAAAGTTCGGCCCGGCCGAACATACTGCTTTTACTTTTTGGATTTTGGGGCAAAGACTCAGCCCTTTAGAACAGATTCGACGCACTGCAGTCCTGATTCAAATATGACACCCTAGTTCCAATTCCGACGTGCAACATTAGCCCTAAAGGAAAGTGAGTTTTGTGGAGAGAAGCCAGAGGAAAAGGTGACATCTACCTATTCAATTCCGCCGCTCCTTCCCGTGAAACTCACTCTTCTCTCCTGTAAACATTTCCCAAGCTTTTTTGGAATACAACTCAATTTTACCCCAATATTTTATGTTTTGTAGTCATTTGCACTGAAGTTTGGCCGGGCCGAACTTTTAATACCCTCCACCATTTGGAAGGAACTTGAAAAATTACAAAAATCTTTCGGAAACTACCACTTAAATGAAAACTGTTATATGGAGCCTATACGAAGACGTGAACCTGCATAGAATTTTTTTGTCATAGGCTGTAGCACACATTACGAACTTTAAATATGAAATTTGTTACAATTCCGCTGAATAATGTCGGATAAAAATACGAGTATTATGTCTTCATATACATGGACCTACATACGATTTTTTGTCATGGGCTGTAGCACACATTACGAACTTTAAATGCTAAATTTGAACCAATTCCGGTGAATAATGTCGCGAAAATCATTAAAACACCGAATATCGGAATACCGTCATATGGGTAAACGTGAACAATTTTTTTTTGTCATAGGCTGTAGCACCCATTACGAACTTTGAGTACGAAATTTGTTACAATTCCGGTAAATAATGTCGCATAGCAATACCAAGTATTGGGAGATACCGTCATATGGGGGGGGGGGGGTCTATACGAAGACGTGGACCTGCATAGAAAATTTTGGTCATAGGCTGCAGCACCCATTACGAACTTCAAATACGAAATTTGAAATAATTCCGGTAAATAATGTCGCTAAAATCATGAAAATTCCGAATAATGGGAGGCACTGTTATATAGGGGCTATACGAAGACGGGGACCTGCATACGATTTTTTCCACAGGTTGTAGTAACCGTTAAGATCTTCCAATACAAAATTTCAAACGATTCCGGTAAATAATGCTGCTGAAATCATCAAAATACAAATCCCAATATTTTTATCAGTGCTATGTCAGGTCCACACAAAGGGTAAAATTTTGAATAACTACAACTCTTATAAAATACGAAATAGGTATCCGATTCTGTTCAAATTTCACACAATTCAAACCCCGCAAAAAGGGTTCAAGTTTTGAGAAAAAGCTCATAAAACGATGACAGAAAATTGTCCGTGCAGGTCCACGTCTTCGTATAGACCCTTATATAACGGCTACATTCGGTATTTTTAAGATTTTAACGAAAATTTCCGAACTTACAGCTTTCTTACATGTTTTTAATTTTTTTCGGAGGTAGGTATTTGTACCCTAATTCCGGGAAAGTATTTTTTTCTTGGGTACGAATCAGGATATATGATCCGAAAATGCGGTTAAAAGACCCGGAATAGACCAGAATCTGCATACCATATGAACACTAATGAAAATACGTATACAATAAGTGGTCACAGGTATTTGAAACGGTTCGACAGTTATTTAAAAATTATTAAATTTTTTGGAATCGAATTTTTAAAAAATCCCCCAGAAGTGAAAAACAATGTGTGATCTTTCCTGGATTTAGATATGTGGGGCTTTGAACCCGATCGATCCGATTCTGTTCAATACATTGAAATTTTCAGTATGAAAAACTTTACTTCGCTTAGCCGGCAATTATAAAAGTATTAAATTAAGAAAAAAAAACAGAGGCGAAACTCTCAAGCCGTAACTAAAGGCCGGCTACCTTAATTTCAAATTTAGAAAAACCTTGGTTCGATGCCCTGAACAAAATCAGTTGAACAATTTTGTATAATTCAATTTTTGATTTTCCAAAACTAAGTCGATTTTGATTTTGGATTTTTAGTTTCGTCAACATTTTTAAGGATTAGAAAATCGAAATTTGATTCTGCTTTTAGTTCGTATGAAGAACGAAATTGACAAAAAATCACGGAAATAATCACGTATTTTAGGAGATATAGGTATGAGAAGGAGCGAGAGAATATTATTCACAATCACTCCTGACCTATGTATGATATAAATATTTCGATATTTTTTTTAGCCTTTTTGAAGAAGGCAAAAGAATGAGGTGACCAATATTGCTCATTTCGACCCTGATCTGAGTTCGATCCATATTGAGCAATCTTATTACTCAATATGGAATTTATATATATTTTATATTTTAAAGTTTGTGGGGGAGGTACCAGAAGGTGTGGATAAATATTGTAGATCATCGAACTAAATATATATTTTAAAAATATTACGATGTAACGAGTCCGACAGAGGGACTGGAAAACGGACTGGTGAACATGGCTAAATCAGATCTAGAGTCTAGAACTTTATTTCGGTGTGGTACATTTTGGCCGTTTCAAGTTATTCATACTCCCTGAAGCCATCAGGATATGAGGGTATATTTAGAATATAGAAATATACAATTCTTCAGAGGTAAAATCGATAACAAAAAGTAGACGTTGAGAGATCAAAGCCCACAGATCAAATTCGACTTCGGATGACCAATGTGATGGCCAAAATGTGTCTCATCGAAGTAACAGTTTTCCCATTTTAGGACATTAATTCGATCTATCCATGTCCATCTGTCTAGAGATTTCGTGTACACGATCGTTTGAAAAAAGTGATCCAGTTTGATGCAAATTCTACCTTCCCCAGAAAAGTTCAGAATACAGATGCAATACAGATAAATATACATATCTCATATTGAGTAAAGGGAGTATCCAAACTTCTCACATTGTAATATTTATGTCAGACTTATATCTGATGCCAAAATGAAAAATATTGGTCCACTTCAAAATTTTCAAAATTCTGAATAATATTAACCCTTGTAGAAAATCGGAAAATCCATTTTGGAAATTCTTTTTAATTTCCCTCATTAAAATCTATAGTTTCTCATTTCCTATCTATCCTATCACTTCCTATTTCTATGCATGTACCCCAAGGTTTTGTGTAAAGCTTTTGTAATCTGCACCACAACTGTACAAAAACAGTCAATCAGACGGATCATTACTCATTACTAACATTAACAACAAATACATACATATATTTCTCCCGATTAATTAAATTAAATATTAGACCTAACCTGAAAAGAAATACGAGAACCCTTCTTCCCCAATATTTTCTTCAAAAGATCCGAATATTAACAAAAATTTCTCAATTAGGCTTTGAATTCCATGGCCAATGCGACTCCGGTAATGCCTGTGGGCCAGCACATGATTCCCACACCAAGGGATAGTCTATCCGAACCGGGGATGCTGGGGTAAGTATACACATTTTTTAATCCAAAGAAATAATTTTTTCAAAAATGTCCTGTCGGTCTTTTAGCTTCTCACAAAGCCGCTTGCCGGTGCAGTCACCCTCACAGTCGGCCTATGCCAGCCAAAGAAATTCGGTATCAACGCAGGGGGCAATGTCGCGTCAACCTAGTCCCATGAATTCGCCGGCTTTGAATCCTTTTGTTTTTGGTACCGATGTTGATTCCGTGGATGTGGCCACCAGAGTTGCCATGGTAAGTTTTTCTTTTCAAATTTTCTAAATAAATTTTAAAAATGTTTAATTTCCCTGCTTTAGGTTCGCTTTTTCAACTCCCAAAATACGCTGGCCAATTTTGCCGAACACACACGCACTCTGCGTCTCTATCCCCGACCCGTTGTGGCTTTCCAAATCAATAGCTTTCTGCGTTCACGGCCCAGAGCCTCACAGTTCCTAAGCATGTTTGCCAAAACTCAGGCTGTGGAATTTTTGGCCGAATGGTCGCTGACGCCTACGAATGTGGCATTTTTAAGGGTACAAACGGGCGTTATGGATCCCCAGCAGGTGGGTGACAAGCCGAAATGGTTTGCCAACTCTCTGACACCCATACGCTTTGCCGTCTGGGATGACAATAGTTCCTTGAATGGTGCCATCAAGGCCCTCAAACAATTGGAGTCGGCAGCAACGGATGAGAGTGGTTCCGATTCGGAGGGTGCCGACAGTTCTAGTTCCTCGTATTCGTCGTTAAGTGATTTTGTCTCTGAAATGGTTTCATCCGATCTCTCGCCCAGTTTGCACGATGTCTTTGGTTCGCACAATCGCCAACACAATGTCCCCAAAACGCTGTCAACAAACTTGGATCCGGCCTTGGTCTATCATCCGCCCAGCAAATTGCAATATCCGGAGGGTATGGTCGAACAAATGTCTTCCAAAGAGGATGAAGATGATCGTCCCGAAAGTCCAATATCCTCGTCGTCGAGTCGTTCGGATTTGAGCTCACCGAGTTTTAATAGAGATTCGGAGTTTGATTTTCCCTCGAAATCTTTTGAATTGGCGGCACCAGTGGCCCAAAGGCTGGAGGCCACCATTAAGGCGGGTAGTATGGAACAAGAGGCGGAAAGTGCTACAACATTGATGGTTAAGACGCCAGTATCAAGGACCAGCAGTGAGAAAAGGATACCGGTAGGACAGGTGATGGAAGAAAAATTAAATTGAAACTAAAAATTCTTTCTCATATCTTTCAGCCCCCCATTACTCCCGTCAAACAGCCGAGTGTCACAAACATTTTGTCCCGGGCCGGCAGCTCTGGCTCCAGTTCCAGCAGCCCCGGACGACAAAGTTCTCAGGGTTCGTTATTTGAAAACATTGCCTCACATGCCAAGGACTTGGTGCGTGAGACCACTCGACAAAGCAGTCAAGAGGGTATTTTGGCCCACATGGATAAGGTAGGTGCTGTCGTTCACTTAGAGCTGCGACTCCGAGGTTTGACCAACTAAATGTTGTGTGTGTATGTGTCTATGTTTTTGATATGATTTACTTTTTCTTTTACATAATTTTATTTTATTTTGAAACAACAACAAACTCCCCCTGCCCTTCAACCACTCTGACTAACACCGAAACCACACAACTTTTTTAAACTCAACTCAACCTCAACTTTAGACTTCTATGGATGATGATCTAGAAATTGATGATAAAATGATTCAGACATTCGAAAAGGTTTGTAAATGAATTTGTTCAGTTTCGAAAAAAACGAAAATATCCTTCATCCACCTTAAAAAAATGAAATTTGAAAATTAGCACAGATTTCTTCTCTCTGCGGAAGAACGAACAAAATTCAAAATTTATATCTTTTCGATTGGCCAAAATGATTCTCCATTGGTTTCCTTATAACAAAAATATATCCCACAAATATTTAGCTTAGCATTTTTTTTCTTCAAAAAATCAGTCATACTTTTTTTTTTTAATTTGAAAATCTTCTAATTTTGTTTTGCTTCGTAGAAACTTTTGTAAAATCAAGTAGTTATAGACTTCCTGAAAATCCGCTTTTTAATAAAAGTACTTCATATTCAGGTATAAAATATTAAACCGGTCAAATATCTCAATATTCAAAACAGAAAAATTGCAATTTTGTCCTCTTAAAAAAAAATTTTGAACATTTTTGAAGTGGCGCCCAACGTATCATTGCTAGTCTAAAACTTGATTCTCAATAAAAATATCAGCGGAGAATTGGTTCAACACTGCATAAGGCAAGAAGGATTTTTAGTTTTTAAACAGGCGCAATGGTACACTATTCCAGCAGGACCTAAGATCTACTCTTTCTCTTTAAAGTCATATCTTATCAGAACAGTGTTGGCATGTTTGTTCGGGAGACCGTGGTTACAAAATAGTTAGGCTTAATCGCATTATTAATGTTTTTATAAAAACAACTTATGTTTATTAGTGGAGAATACCTAGGAATACCTAGGTTTCGGAAAAAGCCACCGATCCTCATCAGTTCCCTTGTCTTTTGTCTGGGATATTCTCCCCAGGAGTTATTCTAAAAACAACTCCTATGGCACAGAAACTTTGACATTTTGGATGAGGCTCACTTTTGGTTTAAAGGTGTCACATATGACTGTTTTTTTTTTGTACCCTCCACCATACTATGGAGGGTATATTAACTTTGTCATTCCGTTTGTAACTCCTCGAAATACTTATGTCAGACCCAGAAAAATATATATATTCTTGATCTGTGTAAAATTCTTAGTCGATTTAGGGATGTCCGTCTGCCTGTTTTTCTGTCCGTCTGTCTGTATGTTGTAATCACGCTATCTTTCGAACGAATTGAGAAAGAAGGCTAAAATTTTGCACACATGCTTATTTTTCCACTAGGCAGGCTAAGTTCGTAAATGGGCCATATAGGTCCACGTTATCATATAGCCCCCATATAATGATACCTCCCGATATTCGGTATTTTGATGATTTTAGCGACACCTGAATTGTTTCAAATTTGGTATTTGAAGTCTTTAATGGATACTACAGCCTAAGCCAGAAAATTGTCTGTGCAGGTCCACGTCTTCGTACAGCCCCCATATAACGGTATCTCCCGATATTCGGTATTTGGATGATTTTAGCGTCATTATTCAACGGAGCAGTTTCAAATTACGTATTTAGAGTTTGTAATAGGAACGACAGTCTGTGAAAGAAAATTGTCTATGCAGGTCCAGGTCTTCGTATAGGCCCCATATATCAGTACCTCCCTATATTCTGTTTTTTTTTGACGATTTTATGTACAATACCTACCGAAATTGTTTGAGATGGCGTATTAGAACTTTGTAATGGATACTACAGCCTGTGACAGAAAATTGTCTATGCCGGTCCAGGTCTTCGCACAACTCCGATATAATGGTACCTCCCTATATACGATATTTTGATGATTTTAGCGACATTATTAACCGTTTTGTTTCCAGTTTCGAATTTGAATATGGTAATGGCTTATGACAAGCAATGCCTATGTAGGTCCACGTGGAATATAGCCGTTATATTGGGGTCTAAGATAACTGCTATATTCGGTATTTTTTAAATTTTAACAGCATTTTTTAAGGATTTTATTTTTTGAAAATCTCCAATTTTGTTCCAAATGGTGGAGGGTATTCAATGTTAGGCCCGGCCGAACTTACTGCTATTTAACTTGTTTTTTTTTTTTTGGAAATTCGTAATAGAACGGTACGAAAAAAAAACTAAAAGGTACTAAATTTAGCACCCCTTGTATTTGAAGAACAAGTTGAGCTAGAGCTCTAAAATTTGTAATGAGGGTCCCCAACGGAGTGTATGATAAATGTGTCAAAAGATTTTTATAAATTCGTGCTACAAGTATACGAAAATACTAAAATGTATAATACTTGGTACCATTTCGTATCATGTGAACGGTAAGAGCTAAAAAGTTGACATTTGGAATGGGAATCAAGGTTGAGCAGAAGAGTCGATGTACAGGTTGAGATAAAAAAAACCTGCAACAAAGTCAAACGCCATAACTTTGACATTTTTTTTTAAATTTTATTGATTGAAAGCAAAAAATGTCGGAATAGCATCAAATTTTAGAATAAGCCTAGATTTGTTCAATTGGTCACCTTTGCCACGAATTATGGCCTTTAAACCAGCCAATGAAACCGTCACACGCTGCCCGATTGTTGCTCTGCGGTATTTTTGCAAATTCCCGGCGAAGCCCTTGTTTGAGGTGATCGACACTTTGGTATTTTTTAGTGCCAACCTTGCTTTCCAAAATACTCCAGACACAATAGTCCAACGGATTGGTATCCGGAGATTTTGGTGGCCATAGTGCGCTGGAAATGAAGCGAGGAACCTCATTTTTTAATCATCCACAAATTATGGCCTTCAAACGGCCATTGATATTTTAGCCCATTCCCGGTGAAGCGCTTGTGATTGTGAGGTGATCGACACTTTGGTATTTTTTAGTGACAACCTTGCTTTCCAAAATACTTCAGACACAATAGTCCAACGGATTGGTATCCGGAGATTTTGGTGGCCATAGTGCGCTGGAAATGAAGCGAGGAACCTCATTTTGTAATCATTCTTGGGTGGCGCGTGCTGAGTCCTGTTGGAATGCCCAAGGTCTGCGGCCAAAATGTTTGCGTGCCCAAGGCTTTAATACACCCTCCAGAATATTTTCGCGATAATATCCGGCATTTATTATGCTGCCACGGTCGATTAATACGAGCGGAGAGCGACCATCGGCTGTTATGGCGACCCACACCATCACCATGGCCGGCGCTTAAGTTCTGGTGGCCAACGAGGGTGCATATTTTCTGCTGACCTCTTTGGCAAGTAAACACGATCCTTTTCTTGCTTACAAACTGCTAGACAACGAATGTTTTCTCATCGGAGAAAACCAAATTCGGCATCTCACCACTTTCTGCCAAGCGAAGCAACTCTATAACTCTTTTGAGTCTATTTTCTTTCTGTTGCGGTGTAAGTTCTTGCTCTTTTTGGAATTTCAATGACTTTACCCCGAGCTCATTTTTAATATTTTCCGAATGGAATATTGCGATATGTTCAGCTCACGAGCCATTTTTCGGCCACTGCGACGTGGGTTTCGATCAAGTCGCTTACTTTTCGAACCATTTCTGCTGATGTTGCTGTTTTCTTCCGTCCACTTCCTTGACATCGGTCTGCATTACCAGTATCACGGTAACGAGCGATGGTACGAGACACAAAAGATTTATTCACAATTAAATGCTGGAGTGTCCTAACGATAGCCACTTGTGGTTTTCCAGCCAAATATAAAGAAATCACACTATCACGCTTGAATTCCGAATTCACGAATAACTTTTTTTCTGGAAAATTCTCACCAAAATACTTTTGTAGGCTTATAAAAAATACAATGAGCTGTCACTGGAATAATTTTAACAGCTGTCGGACAAGTGGCTTAGAAATGACAGCAGTCTGAAATTGGTTGCAGTTTTTTTATCTCACCTTGTAATGAGCTGTCACTGGAATAATTTTAACAGCTCACGGACGAGTGGTTTAGAAATGACAGCCGTCTGAAGTTGGTTGCAGTTTTTTCATCTCAGTCTGTATACCCTGCATAATACCATGAAGGGTATATTAAGTTTGTCATTCCGTTTGTATCACTTCGAAATAAACATTTCAGATATCACAGCATAAAATAGATAAAATTCTAAGTTGATTCATTTATGCCTATCCGCCAGTATACCTATCAGTTCGTCCATGGGAAAATCACTCTAGTTTCCAAAGAAGGTTGATGACATTTTACTCAAATCTATTTTAGGCTCTTATAATTCTTGGTATTGAAAATATATGAAATAGGTCCAAGTTTTGGTATGGACCCACCCGCCACCTCCACAAAAAAAAAAAAAAAAAAAAAAATACCCACTTACAAACATATCTCCGGAATTTCGTTATTTTGACGTCAATTATAGCAAAATTGTCATTTTAGGTATGCAAGATCCTCTCCGACAGGAACTTGTAGACATTTTCAAAAGTATTATTTTTCAAATGCAAATGGTCGGACAGGCCGAACTTTTTTCCTTTTTACTCGTTCAGCTTAATTTGTGGTTCAGTACCACGCCGAGGCATTTAGCTTCCATTGAACTACTACACCATCCCCAGTCGGTGGATCAAAATTGGTAGTCTTGGTAATTTCAAGCAACTTTTTTCCTGAATTTCCGCTCCCAATTAAGCTGGATTTTTTCTTGAGGCCAGGCTTCGATTTAATTTGTGCTTTCTTCACACGTCATGGGAACACCACCAATCAGTGACAATGGAGATCACACCAAACAACGAACTCATTCATTTTGGTAATGATTATTAGGTCTCATGACACACCAAATAATTAATATCAGGATATATTTCATATTCACACAGCACATACGCCTCCCTTCCCCCTTACATTATTAACATTATTGATTTCACCTTCTAGCAGCACTACTCAAAATGTAGCTTAGAGTGTCTAGATTCTCTAACCCCAACTTGTATGTATCTTACCCATTCTAACATGTATTTGTTTTATCCGACAGCTAACTCTACATGCCAAGAAGGCAGCGGGTGAGGCCTCCAAGCAGGCTCTGGAAGTATCGAAGCAGGCGGCTGGAGTAAGCAAGAATACTTTTGAAGATTTGAGTTATGTCAGCAAATCGACATTGGGTGATTTGACCAAGACCGCCAAGGAGGCGGCCAGCAAAAAGGGTCTAATAAAAATCGATGAAAAAACTGGAGCTCCAATGAACACACAATCCCAGGGTCAAGTGGTGACACAGAAACAAATGACCAACTCGCCAAGTAGTGGCAGTAATTTCTTTTCCAATATTGGTACGGATTTCAATGGATTGGCCTCCTCGACCAGTACCATGTTTTCGGGGATGTTTGGGGGAAAGAGTAAGTCCCGATGTTATATTTCCAGAATTATATTTTAAATCTCTTGTTTTCTTTAGAAAATCAACAAAAACCCCAACAACAGCAGCAACAACAACAGTATCATCCCCAAACCATGGGTCCTAAGTCAAAAAGTGGCCTCGGGTTTGATCCCTTCCCAGGGCGCAAAGGTTTGGTGGAGCGCACTCCCTTGATAAAACATTCTGGCCCCCACAAGACCCAAGAGGAAATAACACGCCAACAAAATCAAGAACGCTCACATAGCAATGCCGAAAATCAGGCCTTCCTCAAGGATATGACAACCCAGGTACTGGCCGGTGAGGGTATTGGTTGGTTGAAAATGAATCGTTTCAAGAAACTAATGGAAGATGAGTCCTATCGAACATTCGTCCTGAGTAAGCTCAACAAGACCTTGGATAAGAAAATTGCTCCCGATGATCACATAGATGATATGGTAAGTACGGGAGGGGCAAGGGGGCCAGCAAAAAAAAAAAAAAACTCATTACAAATGTCATTACCAACCCATTATTTTAAAAAGAAAATATCGCACAAAGTAATTAGTTATTTTATGGTCACTAAAAGGGGATAGATAAGCATTTATTTAACCGACTGTTAGTGGCCAAAAAATTACTACTGATTTCTACGACATGTTCTCGTCGTAAAATAAGGGGTTGGTAACCACATTTGTAATAGGTATTTCTGCTGGGGGAAAATTGCAATACTTTATAAAAAATGTATCATCCTTAGTGCATCTCGAAACCCGTCTGGAAGGGCATGCTGAAATGCCTACAGGCCGTCACCTCTGGCCTTGAGGTGACCTTTGCCAATTTCGGTCTGGGTGGCATGGCTTCCGTTTTTCAAATGATGGAAATTGCCCACACCCACTACTGGACGAAAGAGCTGAACGATGCCAGCGACATGTCATCGAGTTTACTCTCCAGCCATGCCACCAGTCCAATGGGTAGCCGTGAAAATCTACGCTCTCCTTCAAGTCCCAATGGCTCCCACTCCGGCTTGGGCAGTGAATGGGCTTCACCTCAGGAATCACGTAAAAGTTCCACCCACACCGATCGTTCAGGGCCGACCATTCATGGCGGTAACATGGGACACAATCGAAGACTTTCGACAGCCGATAGCCAAGATGGCCAGTCGACAACGGAAATGTTCAAGGATATGTTGGCCCAAAAGCGTTCAGCGCTGTTGAGTAAACTGACCTCATTTGATTCGGATGTAAGTATGAGTGTGGTAGATGTTTTCTGTTCTTTTGTATCGTTTATTATTTTGCTGCACATCTTAAAATTATTCCATGGAAATTTGTTGTTGTTGTTGTATCCACATGTTGTGATTTTGAAATGATAAGAAGTTCGATGAGGTTTTCCACGTTATAACCAATAAATTAAATTTTCCAGGTATGTACAGGCTGAGATAAAAAACTGCAACAAAATCAAACGCCATATTTTTTACATTTTTTTTTTTAATTATTTTAAATGAAGCCAAAAAATGTCGGAAATCAAATTTTAGAATAAGTTTAGATTTGTTCGAATTGGTCACCTTTGGGCACGAATTATGGCCTTCAAACGGCCAATGAAACCGTCACACGCTGCCCGAATGTTGCTCTGCGGTATTTTGGCCTATTCCCGGCGAAGCGCTTGCTTGAGGTGATCCACACTCTGTTTTTAGAGCCAACCTTGCTTTCCAAAATACTCCAGGCACAATAGTCTAAGGGATTGTTATCCGATTTTGGAGATTTTGGTAGCTATTGTGCTCTGGAAATGAAGCGAGGAACCTCATTTTGTAACCAATCTTGGGTTGCGCGTGCTGAGTGCGATGGTGCTGAGTCCTGTCGGAATGTCCAAGGTCTGCGGCCAAAATGTTTGCGAGCGACCATCGGCTGTTATGGCGGCCAACACTATCACCATGGCCGGCCCTTGAGTTCTGGTGGCCAACCGAAGGTGCACATTTTCAGCTGACCTCTTTAGCAAGTAAACACGATCAGTTTGTTTGTTTACAAGCGGCTGGACAACGAATGTTTTTGCATCGGAGAAAACCAAATTCGGCAGTTCACCGCTTTCGACCAAGCAAAGCAACTCTTTAGCTCTTTTGAGTCTATTTTATTTCTGTTGCGGGGTAAGTTCTTTGACTTTTTGGAAATTCAATGGCTTTAACCCGAGCACGAATTATGGCCTTTAAACGGTCAATGAAACCGTCACACGCTGCCCGAATCTTGCTCTTCGGTACTTTGGCTCATTCCCGGCGAAGCGCTTGTTTGAGTTGATCGACACTTTGGTATTTTTTATTGCCAACCTTGCTTTCCAAAATTCTCCAGACACAATAGTCCGACGGATTGTTATCCGAAATTGGAGATTTTGGTGCCCATTGTGCGCTGGAAATGAAGCGAGGAACCTCATTTTGTAACCATTCTTGGGTGGCGCGTGCTGAGTGCGATGGTGCTTAGTCCTGTTGGAATGTCCAAGGTCTGCGTGCCCAAGGCCTTAATACACCCTCCAGAATATTTTTCCGATAATGTTAGGTATTTATTCTGATGCCACGGTCAATTAATACGAGCGGAGAGCGAACATCGGCTGTTATGGCGGCTCACACCAGCACCATTGCCGGAGCTTGAGTTCTGTAGGCCAACCGAAGATGCACACACTTACAGCTGACCTCTTTGGCAAGTAAACACGATCATTTTGTTTGTTTACACACTGCTGGACAACGAAAGTTTTCTCATCGGAACGGAGAAAACCAAATTCGGCAGTTTACCATTTAGGGCCAAGCGAAGCAACTCTTTAGCTCTTTTGAGTTTATTTTCTTTCTGTTGCGGTGTAAGTTCTTGCACTTTTTGGAATTTCAATGGCTTTATCCCGAGCTTATTTTTCAATATTTGCCGAATGGAATATTGCCAAATGTTCAGCTCACGAGCCATTTTTCGGTCACTGCGTCGCGAGTTTCAATCAAGACGCTTCTTTACTTTTCTAACCATTTCTGACCATTTCTTGACGTCGGGCTGGGCTAAGCTACCAGTTTCACGGTAACGAGCAATGGTACGAGACACAAAAGATTTATTCACATTTAAATGCAGGAGTTCTCCAGCGATAGCCACTTGTGGTTTTTCAGCCAAATATAAAGAAATCACACAATCACGCTTGAATTGCATCACGAAAAACTTTTTTTTTGGAAAATTCTCGCCAAAATGCTTTTGTAGAATTGTAAACAATATAATGAGCTGTCACTGGAATAATTTTAACAGCTGTCAGACGAGTGGCATAGAAATGACAGCAGTCCGAAGTTGGTTGCAGTATTTTCATCTCACCCTGTATATGCTTCATCCTATTCAGTGTTAAAGTCCCTCCCATGCTTATTATGCACTCCACAACTCTGATATTTGATTCCAGACATCAGATACAGCTCGTGAATACCTCTGTCAAATTTTATTGAAATCGGTTCACACTTTTTATAGCTGCGATATACATCTTCATCCGATCTTACGGTTGGATCGATTTTTTCATATTCAACAGAATTTTTACATTTGGTGAAACACGGACCGGTATATCTATTGTTTCAATAATTTTTTTATTATAATCCTTATCGAAGTCATATCGCGTATTATACAGGAATGTTATTTGCTACTAGAGGTGCAAAAGCTTCCGTCAAATTTGTTGGAAATCGATTGAGAGTTGTATATGCTTCCCAAATTGTCTCTACTCTAAAGCCGCATTTAAATAAGCTTCTTAGTTGGTATGATCTACTTCACATAAATTCCCAATATAGCCTTTTTGTTACGGGAGCACTACTGAATACGCATTGTGGTGTAGGGTAGCATATAGTCGTCCCGTCCGATTTTTGACCTTTCCTTACTGGTTATAGAGTATATACGTTTCACTGCATAATCGATCTGTAGGATTTCTCGGTCAATTGAATTACTAATCAATGCTTGGAGCTTAAAGCCTTTGCAGAAGTGGACCTTTACTCGATCTGTAAATCATACAATCTCCCAGCAATAACATTTAAAATTACAGAGAATGACAAAATTGTCCGATTAACTTGGTTAAATAATCATTAGTACCTCTTTGAACTTCTCATCTCTCAAAATCATATACCGACGTCGTTTGAAGTCATAATTGCAGCTGCCTTCCATAGATCATAGAAAAGTCGGAAAAAATAGTCCAGATCATTCATCTGTAAATATAAACATGTATCTCGCATAGCCCCCTGTCCCCCCCCCACATTTTGCAGTTCATCCAATTTGAATGTATTGTTGTCGTTAATGTTATTGTAAGCAGATATTCATTTCAAACTGTATCTCGTATCAATAACCCATAATAATAGTTGTAGTAAAGTACTTACTAACAATAAATAGCAAGAGGAAGAAAATCAATCGTGTAGATCGGTTCACAAAAAATCGAAAATCAAAGTTGATGTCAATAAAAATATTATTCCGCATAACATAAAACATTAGCTTAGAAGAATATAATTGTGCTTTTTTTGTACCTGTTATGATGCGATTTCAATACCCCAACTTCCCAACTTCCTCCAAAATCCGTAGGCGGCTGGTTCGACGGGTGCCCTTTCAGTTGTCAGTGACCTCTTGCCTGTGGGTAGTTTGAATGTTCGCATGCCATCCAGTTGTCGTTCAACTGTTTCAGATACCGAATACGAAAATGTAAGTAAAACGAAGAACTCGAGAGAATGATTTTTGAAAGACAGAGAGAGAGGCCCCCTTGAGGTGTTTGCCATTGGATTCTGCACCCACAATTTGAATATGGAAGGCCGGTGGTCCTCCTTGTTGTTTTTCTAGTGTCTGGTATTGGAAAATCTATGATTTATTTGTAACTTATTTTTAGACCACAACTTCGAAGGATTCGAAACGTAGTTCAGGCAATATGTGGACTGGCAAATCGACGCTCAGTGCGGGTTTCCGTTACACGGGTGGTCATTTGATTAATACCTCTTCATCGCCATCGCCCGATAGTCCGCGAGTGTATTTGTTTGAAGGTCTGCTGGGTAAGGATCGTTCAAATCTATGGAATCAAATGCAGTTTTGGGAAGATGCATTTTTGGATGCGGTCAGCCAGGAGCGTGATATGATTGGAATGGATCAGGTAAGAGAAGAATCACCAATATATTCAAGATAAAAAATGTAATTTTTGTTGCAGGGTCCCATTGAAATGATGGAGCGTTATAAGGCCCTTAGTGATTCGGAGCGCAAACGTTTGGAACACGATGAAGATCGTCTGTTGTCAACGATGCTCTATAATTTGACAGCAATATTGGTCATGTTGAATGTGAATAAGGAAGAGATACGCCGAAAAATTCGTAGACTATTGGGTAAATCCCATATTGGCTTGGTCTATGCTCAGGAAGTCCATAATGTTGTGGATCAAATTAATAATTTGGTAAGTCACAGATGCCCTTTTGAGGAATAATCCATAAAAGAGTAAAAAATGAGTGAGTGACTGAGTGACTCATCAACTCCCAGACAAAACGTCACTCTTAGTCCGAAGGTGTCAGATAAGGCTGGGTTTTTGGTAATTCATACCAGAACGGTACGAAAAATATTAAAAATTACTAAATATTGTGCCCTTTTATTCGACGAACGAACTGGAACACTTAAGGTTTTTTTGGAAATTCACACTTTATATGTACTAAAAGTACTTAAATGTACTAAATTTGGTACCATTTCGTATCATGTGAACTGTTAGAGCTAAAAACTTGAAATTTGGAATGAGAATCAAGGTTGAATAGTAGGGTCGATGTAAGGAAGTAGTTTTGGAGGTGTGCACACATGTACACGAAAAGTACCAAACCGTACTAAATTTAGTACAATTTGAATTTGGAGGAACGGATGGATATGGAATCCTGAAATTTAAAATTAGCATTACTGTCGGAGTGTATGACTAGTAAATGGAGACCGTTTTCAAAATGTGTACTTATGTGCACGAAAAGTACTAAATGGTACTGAATTTGATACAATTTTGATGTGGGTGAACTAATAGTGCTGGAATGCTGAAGTTTGGAAATAAGATTACTCTTGCATTGTATGATAGGGGTATGTAGGAAGTTTTGGTAATTCGTAATTATGTGTACTAAATGGTACTAAATTTGGTACAATTTAAATTTGGGAGCTGGATATTTCAGGATAAATTTGAAAATAAGTTTACTATGGAAGTGTAGGATTGGGATATAGAGGTAGTTTTGAAAATTTGTACTTATATATACTAAATGGTACAAAATTGCGAACAGTAGTTAGAGTTGGAATCCTGAAATTGGGAAATACGATTTCTCTTGGTACTTGTGGAAATTTGAACTTATGTGTACTTGATGGTACTAAATTTGGTACAAATTGAATTTGCGTGAAACAATAGGAAATAAGATTACTGTCAGAGTATAGGATTGGGATATGGCGGTAGTTTTCGAAATTTGTACTTATGTGCACGAAAGGTACTGAATGGTACTAAATTTGGTATTGCGAGAAGGGATACAGCTTGAAATCTGAAATTTGACATTAGGATCACTGTTAGTGTGTAGGGTAGAGATTTGAAGGTGATTTTGAAAATATGTACTTTTGTGCGGTTTGGTTTATATATATAAACGAGGAATTTGGAAATATGTACTAAAATGTACGAAAAGTATAATTAACATTAAGTTTGGTATTTGGGTAAGGAGATGAGCTGGAAATCTGAAATTTGAGGTGAGAGTTAGACAACTACTAATTCTGGTATTGTGTGAAGGATTAGCTGAAACCCTAAAAATCGTTGTTTATAGCTTTGAAAGTGTTTGGATAAATGAGGTTTAAAAATCCACGTTTATAGGCACTTTTGGGATGGAAAAATTTATATTTAAAAACTCTGAATGTCCTTGAAAAAATAATATTTAAAAATCCCCGTTTATAGCTCTGAAAGTCCTTAGAAAATAGCATTAAAAATTCACAAGAAAGGATGAGGATCCATGAATAATTAACATTAAGCTCTGAAAGTCTCTGGGGAATAGAATATGAAAATACACGACTATCGTCTTAAAGATCCCTGAGAAACTAGCTCTAAATTTTCTTGGAAAATAGAATTTAAAAAGTTCACCTTATAGCCCTGAAAGTCCTTGGAAAATAGCATTTAAAAATCCAAGTTTAAAGTCTGGGAGATCCTGGAGAAACTAGCCATGAAAGTCGTCGGAAAAAAACATTTAAAATTCCAAGTTTAAAATCTGGGAGATCCTGGAGAAACTAGCTATGAAAGTCCTCGGCAGAAAGCTTTCAAAATTCTACGTTTATAGTCATGGAAATTCTTGAAAGACTAGCTCTGGAAGTCCTCGAAAAGATAAATTTAAAAATCCACGTTAATAGGACTAAAAGTCCTTGGAAAAAATCCAGATTTTTGTTCTGAAGATCCTTGATGACTATATCTGATCTGACTGAAAGTCCTTGGAAAATAGCATTTAAAAGTCCACGTTTATAGCCCTAAAGATCATTGAAGGACTAGTTCCGGAATTCCTTGGAAGATAGCATTTAAAAGTCCACGTTTATAGCCCTAAAGATCATTGAAGGACTAGTTCCGGAATTCCTTGGAAGATAGCATTTAAAAGTCCACGTTTATAGCCCTAAAGATCATTGAAGGACTAGTTCCGGAATTCCTTGGAAGATAGCATTTAAAAGTCCACGTTTATAGCCCTAAAGATCATTGAAGGACTAGTTCCGGAATTCCTTGGAAGATAGCATTTAAAAGTCCACGTTTATAGCCCTAAAGATCATTGAAGGACTAGTTCTGGAAGTCCTTGGAAAATAGCATTTAAAAGTCCACGTTTATAGCCCTAAAGATCATTGAAGGACTAGTTCCGGAAGTCCTTGGAAAATAGCATTTAAAAGTCCACATTTATTGTTCTGAAGATCCTTGAAGACTAGATTTGAAAGTCCTTGGAAAATAGAATTTAAAGTCCACGCTTATAGCCCTGAAGATACTTGAAGGACTAGTTCTGAAAATCCTTGTAAAATACCATTTAAAAATCCACATTTATAGTCTTGAAAATCCTTGAAAGATTAGCTCTGAAAGTTCTTGGAAAGTAGCATTTAAAAATCCACGTGTATAGCTTTAAAGGTCCTTGAAAAATAGTTCTGAAAGTCCTTCAAAAATATAATTTAAAAATCCACGTTTTAATTCTGGAAGATCCTTGAGAAGAAACTACCTCTGAAAGTCCTTGGAAAATAACACTTAAAAGTCCACGTTTATAGTCCTGAAGATTTTTGAAAGACTCTTTCTGAAATTCCTTGGAAAAATAGTATTTAAGAATCCTCGATTATAGCTCCTACGGTCCTTGAAGAAAACATATTTCAAATTCCATGTCTATAACTCCTAAAGGTCCTTGAAAAAATAATATTTATAAGTCCACGTATAATGCTCTGAAGATCCTTAGAAAAAATATTAAAAATCCACGTTTATTGGTCTGAAAATCATTGAAAAAAGCATAAAAAATTTAATATTTTTGAATTTCTTATTTGTTTTCAGAATGGCAACGACATCGATTTAAAACCTCTGGGATCGAGATTATTACATCGACAAAGTTTCACCGTACATCAGGGTGTGGATGCCTCGGGTCCTTTACGTTTCATGGAAGTGCGAGACGATGGTCTGGTTTTGAGATCCGTAGATGGTACCATTGTGGAACGATGGTGGTATGAACGTTTGGTGAATATGACCTATTCGCCAAAGACAAAACTTCTATGTTTGTGGAGACGTAACGGGGGGCAGACACAGCTGCACAAATACTATACACGGAAGGTGGGCAGTTACAATTTCCAGAAATTATTCGAAAACGAAAATTAAATTATTTTTAATATTTTATTCCCCAGTGCAAAGAACTGTACAACTGCATCAAAGAAGCCATGGAACGCGGTGGTACACCCACCAATGTTCCCGAGCTGGGCGGCGAGTTCCCCGTCCAGGATATGAATACGGGCGAGGGTGGCCTGTTACAAGTGTGCCTTGAAGGTGTTGGTTTGTTATTTGCCAACAGCAAGGTAAGTCGCGACCTAAGTGTCCTCCTCATGTGATTTTTCCAAACAATTTTTTTACTTCCATATTTGCTTTTGTATTTTTCTGTATTTATGAAATCAAATCAAGTCTATTTTCCTAAGTTAATTCCTTTTCTTGTAACAATTATCAAAACCAAAAAAAAAACAACAACCAAACAAAATATGAAATATTTTTTGTCTTTCTTTGTAAACCGATTTGAAAAAAAAATCCAAAAAATATCAATATTTCATATTAATGAACGTTGTCCGTTCTCGTCCTAAATGGGAAGGTGAATTTTGTGTTTTCTATTTTTATTTTGATTTTCTTTCGGTTTTTTTATTTCCTTCTTTTATTTAAAAAAATAATCATGTCTAATGAATTTTGTAAAAAAAAACTACATATCTCGTGTTTTTCATTTAAATTAAAATGTCCTTAATATTGATTTTTATGTTTTTTCGTTATTAGTTAATTGTTACAACAGATAATTCTATTAATTTTCCTTTTGTTTTAAATTACACATTTTCTCCGTTGGAAAATGTGTTTCAATTGTTAATGACAAAGCAAGGACCTTCTCAACTTTTTTCTTCCAATTCTTATGTATTCGTATAAACGTTTTGTTGTCACTTTCATCCTTTTAATATATTCTTGGTTTTTTTTTCTTACATTCATTCAAAACATTGCAATTAACTTTTTTTGGTTAATTCATGATTTGGAGGTTTAACTGGTGTAGTTTTCAATTCGGCTTTCGTTTCCAGGATTCGTGTAAAATAGTTTTTTTTTTTTAAATTGAAGTCCAGACAATTCTAGAAAAAAAATATATATATTTAAAAATCCGCTCCGCAATTCTTGAAAAAATAATATTTAAAAAACTCCGTTTATGGCTCTGAAAGTTCTTGGAAAATAGCATTCAAAATCCACAAGAAAAGTTTTGAGGATCCATGAAAATATTATTTAAAATCCATGTTTGAAGTCTGGAAGATCTTTGAGAAACTTGCTCTGAAAGTCCTTGGGGAATAGAATAAAAAAATACACGTTTATAGTCTTAAAGATTCCTGAGAAACAAGCTCTAAAAGTCCTTGGAAAATAGCATTTAAAAAGTCCACGTTTATAGCTCTGAAAGCCCTTGCAAAATACTATTAAAAAAAACAGCTCTGAAAGCCCCTGGAAAGCAGAATTTAAAAAATCTAGGTATTAGGTTTTGAAAGTCCTTGGAAAATAGTATTTAAAAATCCACGTTTGTCTTAGCTCTAGAAGTCCTTAGGAAGGTCTTGAAAACAGATTTTTTTATATCCACGAAACGCACTAACAATTTGGACATTGGGATGTTTGCAGTAGTTGAACCAGTTTCGAGACTCTTTAGTTGCTCAGAACTCCAACTGCAGCACCCTATTATGGTCTGACATACCTATAAAGATTTCGGGAGATTTTTCTGTCCAAAAATATTTCAACGTCAATTATAGTACCTATTTCTAAAACTATCTTCATATCACAGTTTCAGATACCAACAGAGACCACAATGTAACATTTCGGGATTCCAGGTATAAAAATTTGTGCCATTTGGCACTTTTAGTACAATTATAGTACTTATTTCCAAAACCACCTACATATCTCAATTCTAGATATCAAAATCAATATCAAATTTGAGGATTATATGCTTATTTCTTTGCCCAATACCCAATTTAGTACCATGTAGTACTTTTCGTACAAATATGGGACGAATTTTCAAAATCACCTCCATATCTCAATTCCAGATACCGACAGAGACCTCAATATCAAATTTTAGAATTTCAGGCCTATCAACTCAACTAATACCAAATTTATTACAAGTTAGTACTTTTCGCACAAATACCATCGCCGAATCTCAAACACAGGCAATCAGTAATCAGACAATCAGTAATCTAAATATCAAATTTCAGAATTGTAACTCTACCCCCTCACCTAATACCAAATTTAGTAACATTTAGTACAAAGTACGAATTTTCAGAACAATCTTCATAGCTCAAACTCAGGTACCAACAGTGATCTTAATATTCAGTTCTGGAATTTTACCCATTACCAAAATTAGTACCATTTAGTACAATTATGGTAGACATATTCAAAACCAGCTCCTTCTCTCAACCACAGACACCAACAGTGACATCCATATCAAATTTCTGGATTCCAGCTTCCACCTTTCCCCCAATAACCACGTTTGGTACTATTTAGTACTTTTCGTACAATTACAGTATACATTTCCAAAACCAACTCTATATCACACAATTACAGATAATTTAGTACTTTTCTTACAAATAAAGGACAATCTCAGATACCTTCACTAGCCTAAACATCAAATTCCACAATTTTGTATCTATCCCTTCACTCAATATCCAAATAAGTACTATTTAGTACTTTTACAATTTTTTTACAATTGTACTAGTACAATTATAGTACAGATTTCCGAAATCTTCTCCATATGTCCAGGCTACACATGAACAGCGACCCTAATGTCAAGTTTCAGCCAATACCAATTTGCACCAAATATAGTACTAATTAGTACTTTTCGTGCTCGTGTAGTACACATTTTCAAAATTACCTTTTTATCACCAACCTGAACCTTTATTACGATTTGCCAGAACCCAAAGGCTGACCCACAAAGACTAACCCTTGTGCAAAATTTTAAAATTCTTATTTCAGCCTTTTTATCTGGGCATTGATTCCAGATCTGTTAGTCATTCAGTTATTTCACTATTTATTGACCCTCTGTCATATGGCAAGAGAGGGTATATATCATTTGACACGGCCAAAACGTGCCTTATCGAAATAACGGTTTTAGACCCTAGGTCTCTCTGAACCAAATCCGTTTCAGGACAGTCTGTCAGTCTGTATGTTTCCTCCTTCTAGTATTAACCCAAGGTCTGGTGCTAAGATGAAATATATAGGTACACTCCTTTTGGTACCTCCCCCACAAAAGGTCGAAATTTCAAAAAAAAAAAAAAAAAAAAAAAATACAAACAATACAATTATCCGATTTTGCTCCAACATTGCAAATCCTAATATTTGCCTGAATTCTCAATCAGGTGCAAAAATGGATAATTTCGGTGCACTCCATCAAGTACCTCCCCCACAAAGGTTCAACATTTTGAGTAATTATAACTCTTATAAAATGTGATGTAAGAGTCCGATTGTCTTCAGATTTCACACATCCCAATATTTTTTATAAACTTACGAACTGGAACATAGATGGAACATATCGGTCCACTCATTCTGGTACCTCCCCCACAAAAAGTCGAAATTTTGAATATCCATACAGCTCATGAAATGCGAAATTAACATCCAATTCTATTCAGACTTGGCACATCTGAATATTTCTATCAACACAGGATCTGTAATAAAAACGGTAGAGGAGATCGGACCATTCCTTCCGGTACCTCCCCTGCAAAGGGTAAACATTTTGAATAACCATGAAGGCCATACAACGCGAAATAAGCATCAGGTTCCCTTTATATTTCATACATCCCATTATTTCTATTAACACAAGATCTGTTGTGAAGATGGGATATATCGGTCCACTTCTTCTGGTACCTCTCACACAAAGGATCAACATTTTGAATATCCATGAAGCTCTTAACAAGCGAAATTAACATCCTATTCCATTCAAGACTTGGTACATCTGAATATTTCTATCAACACAGGATATGTTATAAAAAAGTTAGGGATCGGACCATTCCTTCTAGTACCTCCCCTGCAAGGGGTCAAAATATTGAATAACCATGAAGGTCATACAACCCGAAATAAGCATCAGGTTATCTTCATATTTCACACACGAACATAAGATCTGCTGTGAAGATGTAATATATCGGTCCACTCCTTCTGGTATCTCCTCCACCAAAGGTCAAAATTTTGAATTTGAAATTAACATTGGATCTCACATCTCAATATTTCTATCGACATAAGATCGCACCACTTCTTCTGGTACCTCCCCCACATAGGGTTCAAGATTTAAAAAAAAAAAAAAACAAAAAAAAAAAGCGAAATAAGCATCGAAATCTCTTCAAATTTCACATATACAAACATTTTTGCTAACACAAGACCTATTGTGAACGTTCGATTTCCTTTCTATTTTGCCCAAACCAATATTTTTATCTGTATTTTTTTTTATCTGTAATGAAATACTTCGGTCAAATTTATTTCGTTCCTCACGCACATTTTAACATTTTCTAAAAATTATCACATATCTCAAAAAAGTTAAGGAATTAGTCCATATAGTCCAAACCTGCTACGTCGCAATATTTATTTAGTTCCGACACGAAATGGACAATATTGGCTCATTCCTTCGTAACCTATTCCATAGAGGGTCAACAATGTGAATCATCATAACATATAAATAGATATGCTACTTAACGATAGGTATTTATCTAAAATTACTAGAAATGTGGTTTTCGCGGGGCTTGCATCAGTTAAACCTCTCAAGATTCATGCATTTTTTTAACCTTTTTTTTCAAATCATATTTATGCAATTTTTTTTATTAAATATACATTTTTCATTAGTCTCACAAAAAGCATACCAACATAGCCATATTTTTATAATGTCACCATAAATCACGCATCTAAAAAAAAACATATTTAGCTTCGAAACAACTATAGACATATCATACACACACACACACACTCAAATACAAAACATGCATATAAAAATCCTACATATACATTTTCATATCATAAAGACATCGCCATTTTTAAACATTTATTTTCACATTTTTGCCTTTTACAAATCCAAAACAAAAAAGTACAAAGAATTTTAACTCACCAACGAAAATAATTTTTTACACAAAAAAAAAAATTACAACAACAAAACCAACCAACAAAAATATGCTGCTAGTGAATGTACTGAATGCTAAAAATGCATTTTTTTTTCAATTCTTCTTCTTATAATTAATTTATCAAAAACATTTTTTTAAATAATTGTGTTGAAAAAAAAACAAAAGTAAAAAACAAACGAAATTCTTAAGAAGAAAAACAAAAAGAA